AAAACGATAGAGAAATTTGACCCACTCCTCTCCCCTCCCCAGCCTCGCCCAGTGCGACAGCAAAATTTTTGGGAAAAACCACAAACTTTTTCGGGAAATCGGAGAAACTGGACTGGTAGGAAGGTTATGGGAAATCAGAGAAATTCCTCTTGTTTCTCATTAGGTATAAACTCCTCCTCCCACCCCAGCTCGACGGAGAATTCTTGACTGAAAAATTGGAAATTTTCTTGGGAAAAAATGGAAAAAGTGGTGGGAAGTGTTGGGGAAAATCTTGCGAAGTGGTGAGGTAAGCGGTAGAGCTGAGAGGGGGGGTCTATTTGAGCGATAGAATTAAGATGGCGGCGGGTCATATTTTTCAGAGAAATGATCACAACGCGATGGCGTGCCATGGGCGTGGATTGAGTCTCCCCATGGGAACGTTTTCTGCCAATAGTGATCGGTCAAGGAAGCAAGAAATGAACGGTAGAAAAGGCGACGAGTGTACCTTTTGTGGACTAGTGGGGCCCGAAAGGGTGTTAATCCTTTACAGTGCAATGTACGATGCTTTAGAACTATTCTACAGTGACGTAATGATCACACAGAGTTAATATATCAGAGGATTCCAACAGCAACGCTGAAAAGTTGTACTCCTGAAGGCAAATTCCACAAAAAAAAGTGCGTGAGCAATGGTGTGCAAAGTGGATGCTATTAGATACATCCATAAAGGAAAGGGAAATTATTCATTGAAAACGCCGTAAACCGGACTAGAGAACAATGGCGCTGACCAGGCGTGTCCTAACCATCAAAAAACTCCGTTTTGAATGTTTATCTTCGAAATTCGAGACAGATTCATCGCTACAGAAGTAGCTGAGCTCTTGTGGCAACCTCTGGAATCCAGCATGGTTTCTACAGGGTGATGATTACTGTGAGAACAACACCTTGGAAAGCAAGGGCAAGGACTAAACAGAGTCCAAAAGGAGGAAAAAACCAGATAGCATCTGAAATTCCAGAGATAGAAATCATCGTCTCAGAAAGAAAATATAATGCAGAAAGAAAAAAGTGAACAAGAAGGTGTGTATCGAGATCAGCGCAGAGAACAAGAAGCACTTCCAGGAACTGGTATTAGCAAACAAACTCAAGGTCCCGTAGATTGTCAGCAAGAGACCTGCAGATGCTGCAAGCCTCCTGTGACCATTCAGGCGACGAAATTGAACGGAAAGTACACAGGTCGAGAACTCGTTCGTTCAGTCGGTTGAACAGCAACGGTCGCGTGGGTAGCCGATAAACCCATCCACTGAACCTAATTGATATTCCTCGAATTACACCGGAATTTCAGAGAGCAGAAACCGCCAACGAGACAATGTGGTCGTATAACAGATCGTAGAGTACTGGTGATTAATAACTGCATAACTAAAAATTGGATTTTGTAAATAACGGAAGAATTTCATGGTTCCCATTCTAGTACCGATCCTTTGAAAGCAATGCATTATTAAACTAGAAGTAGATAAAATAGCACGGTCAAGTGGTGAGGGTCAGTGTAATGAAAGGTGAAGGGCTAAATGGCTACTGAGCATTTCGTCTTCATCTCGCGCTGCTGTCACATCCTCTGGAGAAGTCGACCTTATGCACTCTCTGGAACAGGGCATCCGGTGTTCAGACGGACCACACACATCATTTATCGGTGAGATACACTCTCGTTCGCTGCTAGTGAGGGGCGTGTAGGTACGGATTTGGCGCGGAGCCAGTTGTTAAAGCCAGTTGTCGCCCAGTTGTTAAAGCGACTAAGCGGCATCGAATGCTTTAAAACGACTGACACGAACAGTAGGATACAGTATTGTCAGAGAGCTCAACGACTGATCATTTGCATTTTCTCGCTTCAACCAACGTTGGAAAAGAGATTTGGCGTTGTGCCAAATCCATCCCGCCTGACACGCCCCTTCACCCGCAGCGAGCAAGATTGCATAAATGTGTATTCGAAATTCTGAAAGTGAATGCCAACTGCACAGTTTCGTTCTTTAGAATGTAAAGGCGTTAGTGAGGGCGTATTTTCAGATTTTTCAGGCGTTTTTGCGCCGAAAGTTGAACCGTTCAAAACTGGGCCAATGTTGTCAGCCCTTTAACGACACTTGCAGGACTCCAAAGTAGAGAGTGTTCCTCTCGAGTACAGATGGTGCAGTCATGATCCGTGCAACCGATAGGGGTGTGACGCGATACGGATTGAGGCGTAGCCGGGACAGCCTCCTTCCAATTTGATGACATCTTGACACCGCTACAGTTGCGGAAGTGTGCCTAGACAGCGCTCCAAGCCACGCACCCGTCACGCCCTATCATCTGCAGGATCGTGCCTGTGTATGACTCTTTTGACCCGTAAGGTTAGAATGGAAGGAGTCTTTGCCGCGGGGAATTTCTACTTTCACATTGCACAGAAAACAAGCAATGTTTCTGGCCATTGCGCTGCATTGCTTACTAGGCAGGTCTTTCAGAGCCCGTCAAAGCGGTTTGTAGCAATTCGTAGAGGCTCATTATTCACGACCAAAAATGTAGTCCAATTTCATTGTTCCCTTCCAGCCGATGCCAAGAAGGGGCAAGAGAAATGTACTTCGAGCTGGCGACTAACTAAGAGATAGAAGGCTCTTCAGTTCATTGAACAGAAAGTTCGACAGTTTTGGACATGTGTTTGTTCTTACGACTTATACGAACAAAAGAAAATAGTTGAGGCATTGCAAAATTCTGTTACCTAAGAGATTGAAACCATCACCCTGTTGTTCACCCTTCCTTTGGCGTCACCCAGCGAAAATGGACTACACATTGGTGGTCTACGCATGAACTTGTACAGCACGCAACGGACCGTTTCGAAGATGGGCTCCACGACCTGAAGGACCCCCTCCCCTTCCCTAGCTAGGGACGAAAGTTCAAAGATGCATCCGATTCCTAAGTATTCAATACTGATATTGTCCTCGGAAAAACGAGAGTAATCAATTCAGCACGTGAGAGAATGGTATGAGTGGGGTTCACGTTACGGAAAGGACGATGATATCATCCGAAATGTTGGCAGGCTTTGAATAATAATGAAGAACATCTAGTACACACTGGAACGATTTGTACTCTGGCACCAGCTCTGTTCTGAAAAAAGGGTGAGGACCACCATGTGTATTTTTTAGCTTACTTCAATTCAGATCACGAGCTGATTCACGGCAGAATGACGTCAGATTGAGACGCTAGCAAAATAATGATTTTTGATAGATACACACAGCACTTTGCCGGTAGCCAAATTTTCACCTATTGTGATGGTCTCAATTCCATGCACAGTCTATGGGACTTGAAGCTGAATTTCAACCAAGTGCTACTCGTGTTGAGAAAACGAATGCTTCTAAAGGTCAACCAAAGGCAATTAAAGGCAGCTCCCACGTTCATTTGATGTTCCCGCGCCCTCTCTGGATATCATAGCCCTCCCTATGAGGATGCAGTATGTACTAGTTTTGCATCTCAAAAAGGCGAGAGGATAGCGCCTAGTGAAGAGTCGGCCGCCCCGCCCACCTGGCCAGCATAGGGTTCTATATAGGGCATTTCCATGATTTTTTCTGCTTTTTTCTTCACTACTGGATCACGTATTATATGAGCTCCATAACTCATTATTCTTGAAAGCGGGCTCAGCCTTTAAAGGCTAAGCCAAAGCAGTTATGGCAGCCAGGTGGGCGGGGCGGCATCCTCTTCACAAGCGAGTGGCCCATCCTCTCGTATTTTTAAAGGCACAGTTCGCGACCGCAAATTGCGGGAAACGGAACTCAAATAGGCACAAAAAGTGCTAAGTATCTGATTAGCGGAGAAAAGCAGCAGAAAAAGCAGTCCGAAATGTTATGGAGAGAGATAGCATAGTGGCTACTAGCTAGTAGCTAGCAGCCGGTGAGGGTCGGCATGGGCCTAAGGGGTGTCCATGGGCCTAATTAGTCAGCTTCTAGCGGAGTTCTTGCCGTTTTTCACATTTTGAAAGTAGCGCAGCCTCAAAAATCGCCTTCCGGATCGTCCGACACATTTGAGAGGTCATAGCCTTATTTTATCGCGGAATGTGCCTTTAAGCTGCGAAATTAGTGCATCCTCCACCCTTGTCGATAAAGCTACGATTTCTAAGGAGGGCGTAGGAACATCAAATTAAGCGAGCGCTGGGAGGGTTAACTTATCTCCAGTCAGAACTCCCTCGCCCCAATAAGCTTTCTCGCCCTTCTCGAGTAGGATAGTTGATACCGCAGTCTTTGTTGAGCATCGCACCTATCATGAAGCAGAGCCTCTAGCATTGCAGTCGGTCGGGGCGTACCAGGTGGACGTGGGTTTTCCAGCGGCGTCAACCCGTTTCGCTCGTTGCGGGTTCAGTCGTTCAATGAGTGGCGGGCAGGGCCTGGCGTCTTGCCGAACCACGCCCCGACTGGATCCAGTGACAGCGCCCTATTGCGGATCGACTTCTGAATCATGTCTTACGGTTTCCTTGAGTTCTGACTGCATCACACCGGAAAGCCTCAAGGAAGCCTTGAGCTGTGAACTTTCAACCGACGGTGTGCAGCCATACATAAGTATGTCACAAGTAAGACAGTTATGTTACTCATCCAAGGCCTTATACAATCAGTTGAAAGGTCGGATCCAGATGACACATCCAGCAACTCATTCGACTTCTACTTGGAGAAATTGGAATCGATCGAATCGATTAGTATTGTGATCCACTAAGCATGGTTCCATGAGGCGGCTCCACCTAAACAAACCAAGCAATTTTTGAAAATTTATCAAATGTTAAATGTTGATAATATACGAAAAATGTGAAACATAGTCAACCTTCAAGAAGATTTTTACATTGCACCAATCGTCAGATACTCCTTGAGATAAAAAAGGCATTGCAAGCGCTCTACTGGCTGGAAATCTACCGCCAGGGTCAATACAACGTGTTTGCAAATTTTCTGAGTTATCCGAGATCAGAACCAGACAAAGGCTAGAAATACCCGTGATAAAAAAGTTACGAAACGTAATTGTAAGTACTACTTCCTATATTTAAGACTTTCAATTTGATATTTAAAGATGACGTCGTTGATCTCTTTCTGTAGACGAAACGCCAATTCAGGATTCTTCGATTCCAGTTCGCGGGCAGCTTCTTCAATCATGCGACCTGTAGATCTTTTCCATTTAGTCAAACAGTCGAATATTCGGCATTAAAACAGTGAAAGGCGCAGCTGCCCTCTGAGGGACAAAATGGAAGAGTCCAAACTTCGCGTGGACGCGCTATAATTGCAACAGCGCTCCATGGCGCGCTACAGTGCGTCATTGCGAAGTCCGAACGGCAAATGAACGCTAATCATGTGAGTTAGAATGTAAAGCTTCTGCCACCTTCCCAGGATTAATTGTGATTCCATGGTCAGTTTTGAGGCAGAGAACTGGTTTCAAGCAGAATATTTGACTATTAAGAAGCGAAACCCTTCCATTAGAACAGCAGAAATCGCTTGACGCCAGTGCGGGTTTTTTTTTGTAAAAGTGTAAACAGACAACTCGAACTTTCGACTCACCCATAAAAGTCCATTTGTCTTCACAAACCCGAAAAGACTGATCTGCTACGAAATCTCCGTATTTGGAGCCGTTCATGGAAGGGCGAGGAGAGGACTGACATAAAAGGTCGATGTCACTCTTCAGAATGTGACCGATCTCACTTTTCGCCTGAATAAAAATTATGTCGATAGAAGACCTTCTATAGAATAACTGAACACTTTTTGCAAAACTAGGTCAAGAATATTGTCACTACGTATATTTAATGAGTGTTTCAAAAATGAATTATCGCTTAACAGAATTCTCCATTTGAAAAAGTGAAAATGCGGTGCGCATACCGTTACTTGCGCCGTAGCCGTAGGAGGCGGGGCTGGCGGAAGAGGTTGAGTCACCGCTTCAACGGAATCTTCACGAGGTGGAACCCATGTAGATACGACCTGGAATAAAAACCATTCCAGCACTTGTTACACCGTAAGCAACGATATATTATGAAATGTATAGCGCTCATTTCTTTCGAAAAATGCTTCAAAAAATTAAGTTTGAGCCATTAATGCATACATTCTCTTGGTGATGACGTCTGCTTCGCAACGCGGTGCCA